TGGCTGATCTGTCTCAGAACAGTCTGGGGGAAGAAGCCAGGCCTGGCGTCTTATTTCTTAGCTCCCTAACCCCTATCTCCCTTTACTAATTCTATCAAATAATATAGATTGCAGCAGATTATTTCTGCCTGAAATTATTATTCGCATAGGATTTTGTGCATTTTTAGCCACTATTCCCAAATCCCAGAATGAAAATATTCTGTAATGTGGTCAGGAGAATTCTCTCCATAAGAGTACTCTCCTGATTACACAGCAATTTCAAGTACTGTTTTTTATTTCAACTGAATTTATTTTTTTATTTTTCTATTGAAAGACTTAAGAGAACCTAGCATGTGCCAGTACTTAGCCACATTCGACGTTTTGGTGGAGTTTCTGTCCTGAAGCAAGTTAGATACTAATAGCGAATGAGTGAACACTTGTCAAACTTGTCACACAGAATCAGTGGGCCAAGAAATGTCAGTATGGAAATAGACTTCATGCCCTCTGAGCTGCAATGGTGGTGAATAGTCAAAACAGGCCTCCAGGAGGAATGCAAAGGGTATTCTGTGTCTTTCAAAGAGGCTTGTCTTAATGAAACACTGAGAGAGGTAAAATTGGAATTGTCCTGTAGATACATCCAGAAAGCTGGCTTTTAAAAATAAAGCTCTGTGGAACAACCTTTGAGATCTTCTCCCCGAGTCCTCACTTCTGAAGGTGGCTACAATGACCCTCGAGTAGAGTTTTCATGGATGGCTGGGAACTTAGTAGAAAAAGATTGGGGAGTACAGAGATCAGACTCAGACTCTGGCTCAGAGAGAAAAAAAAAAGTGTCTCTATTTTGCTAATGATGTGGGCTTCTGTGGCCTGGAATCAACAGGTAGACAGCAACTCCCAAGGGACAGCTTCTTTATTACTTATAATACCTTGTTGGAGTTAAAATAATAACCATATAGTTAACTGAAAGAAACACAAGGGGAGATCAAGCTTTTCCTACATATCAGCTACAACGACTTGATAATTGAGGGGCTGGAGTGTAGAGCACAGGCTGAGGGATTGACTGGTCTAGAGTTTCAATCTGTTGCTTCCTGGCTATGTGACCCTGGGAAAGTTACTTAATCTTATAAATCTTCAACTTCCTTACCTGAAAAGTGGGAAATATATATATCTATGTTTCATAAAGTTGTGTTGACAAAGTTGAAATTCTCTGGCAGGTGTCAACCACATAGCAAGCACTCAATATATGATATCATTTATTATTTAAATGCATCTATTTTTTTTTCTAACCAAAGTTTTCACTTTGCTTCCTTTCTTTATTGCTTAAATCTAAGCTATGAGTGACAGCTGATTACAAAATAAGGTGCACAACATACCTTATATAATGCAGACGTGGAAGCTGAGCCGACTGCAAATGCCACACCAATGATGGAATCAGCATGGAAATTATCTGCATATGCCATCATGACAATGCCAGTAATCGCCATTATTGCGGCAACTATCTGTCAAATAGAATGGAAAGAAACATAAAAAATTATGTCTCTGTATAATCAAGCAACACAAGGCTTCACAAAGGTTGCTAAATATTTCCTTATATTTAATTACCTCGTCTATATCGCTGCTTACATATAAGAAGGGTCAGTATTAAAAGTAAATCAGTATGCTCATGGGACATTCAGGACTAGAATATAAAAGCAATTCACATTCTAATTAAGGAATGGTAATTTTAGTTTAATTTTTTAATTCAACTTTCTTGAGCTTAACATCCATTTTGATGAAATGGATTCAACAGGAAGTCACTTCTAAGTATTTTCATCTGTATTGTATTTTTTTTTCTTCAAACAGTTCAGCATACATTTTAATCAGCTTCTTGAATCAATTCACATTTCTAAAGATCTGAACATAACTAGGACTTGATTAAGGAGACGTAATTTTGATACAGCTAAGGGGCAAAACTTAGACCAAGGGCAAAAAAGAAACTGAATAACCTCTTTTAGGGGTTTATACAGGAGTAAATTGAATGTGCTCTGTCACTTGGGATGTCAAATGGAGGCCACTTCTTCCTTTTGTCTACATTTAAATTAATTCAATTTTTTAGGTACACCACAGAAAGATAATTTAACTTAATTATACTGAAGCATTCATTAACTACATAAAGTGAAATATTTCATAATTGGACTGAGGTCATAATGGTGTACTGTGAAATGATAAAACAGGAGTCCACTCCCTTGGTACAACGCTGGTTCACATCTGTTTCTTTAATTGTCCTCAATTGGTTCTACTGGAAAACATTTCAGCCTTACAGCAAAGAGGAAAATAACCCTGGAATAGGGAACAATATGTCACTTCCTCACTGACTTTAAAATCAAGTTGAAAATTTGTGAGCAAATTGGAGATTAATATGTTAAGCTTCAGTTCTGAGTATTCCAAATAAATAGATTCCTCTGCAGACAGCTTTTGCACATATGTGATTTTTCAAGCCCTTTTAACATTATTAGGGAGTTATTTACAATAACAAAATTTAGATTATCGACATGAGACTAGACTTGAGGCTAATCAGGGTGTGTGTGCTCTTGATGGCCTATACTTCAGGTGCTGTGAGAGCAATGCTCTACTTAATGACCAGCCAGGGCCAGTGCACGGGTAGTTACAGAGTAGCTCCATACTGAAGTTCCCTTTATGAAAAACAGCAGATGACTTGAGCACAGACTCCAACGTGTCAGCGGTGAAAAACCATCTTCACAACACATTATCCATGAGGCTGCTTGATGGGAAGTGTTTCTCTTGCTGAGTGAATATCACATTCTCTGAAACTGCCACATGTGTGTTCTCCTTAGACTCTACCTCCAACTATAAGGAATAGAATTTAATATGTGCACCATGGAG